ACAAAGATTGAAATACTTGTTTGTGTATACGATAGTTTTACTTTAAAGCATCATCGTCAAATTTTTGAACGTCAATCTAAAAAAACTCTTGGTTCTCTGACATTGCCAAACAACTCTTTCAGTTTTTGGCAAACAATTTAACAAGGGAGAAAGAAGTATAACAGCTGGGAACATTGGAACGTTTTTCTGTTTCTTGTATACACTTTTGTTTGTTGATTAATATTCCGTTAAGTAACAAGATTCATTATTCACTCAAGTTTATTCATACTCATAGTATACCGGAGAGATGAGAGAACGTAGCACGGATCAGTGAAGAAGAATCAGAACGCATTCTGCGTTCACTGACTGATTTCATCTGAGAACCCATTGCATTTTCATTCCTTGTTCTTTTATCTAGTAGGAGATGAGTGTAAATATATTTTTATTATGAAACTCATATCAGAATGGTAAAAACATCACACAAACACAGCTACATAGAATTTCGTATTTGAAAAAAATTATTAAAAATAGAAGGTTTTTCACAGAATTTAGAGAGACAATTATATATAGTTGATTGACGTAAAAAAAATATTTAATCGCAACTGAATGTCAAGTTTGTTCTTCTCTCTGAACATTAAACAAGATTCAAATCGCCTAGTAATAACCATAATTGTAGTATGGATAGTAACCTGAAAATAAAATAAATTTCACATAAACTACATTCCGAATTCTATATTCTTACTTACCATAGTAACCAGAGTTCCAATGGTTTCCTGACCAATGGTTACCCCAGCCTAAAACATTTTTAGAAATAGTATATAGTAATAGAAATAGTAATAGCATTTTAAACATCTAAAAGTGTTGTTGTTTTGTGGTATTTAAAAGTGTATAGAGAACAAACTCATACGTACCATGATGCCATGCAGAAACTGACTGCGATCCGAATACTGCTACCAATAACAATATAGCCAACAAAATGCTGTTTAACATTGACATTGTAAATGAAATTATGATAGATGAATAAAATTCAAGCTAAATGAAAAAAATCGTAATTTATCAAATCTCACCGAAAATGAAATGCAAAGTCGATAGAGTGACTTATACTGTGATGGTATAAAATGTTCGGATTCTGATAAACTCTGATTATTTTTAATCTCTCGTATCGTATATCTAGAGAAAGATCATCTGTATTAACGAGCTGTCGGGTACACAATACACAAATAAAATCAAAATTCAATTGTTTCGTTCATCAAAGTTTACTAGAATCCTTATATTGTAAACTAAGTTTAGGCTAGAAAATGGCGAGATTTTTACACTAGCAATGTAAAACGTTTGAAGAAACTTACTAGAAGTTAACGTTGTTGATAAATGTAGAGATGTGTGATGAATGAAGAGCAAAAGGAGCGATTTGTGTATTTATATATCAGTCAATAATGCTTCGATGTTGATTTTTTTGTTTGTAACAAAGACTTCGTTATTACAAAATCGTTTTTCTCTCTCTTTCGTCATGTTTCATACAGAATTACTTTGTCAGATAACATATTCGACAATGATCATACATGAATAGAGAGAGGACAAGACAGACTCGTCGACACATGGTAACAATGGACAATACACCGCTAAGCATTTTTGGTTGTAGTCGTTTTTTTCTCTCACAATAAATGGAGAAATAAGTAGTTACTGAATTTCGAAAGAAAAACGAAAATGTATGAGACGATCAAAAACATACTTAAAATGTGCACTGTAATAGAAAATAGTGGAAACAAAAGAAATATTTCTAGTGTATGTTTAAAGATAGGCGCTACTACTGTGTTCTATATCTGTTGTAGAGTTATCCATGTGTCTATATTTAAAATGATTCATACAGTAGTCCTAGAATTTCAACAATACAACATCTAAGAGAAATAGTTTTTCCTTTTGAATCTGTATTCGATATTATTCTTTGTAAGAAAATCTAGTTAAGTAATAATGGAAGATTTTAGTAAAAAGATCCTCTTAAAAGTAAGGTGTTCCGGACGCTTATACTACTGAACAAATCCCATGGGGAAATTTTATATAAAACGGCATGTAAACTCCTGAACGTCGTGAAATGGTATGTGGGCACGCTTAAAAATATATTCCACTTGTGACAACGCATGAACTGGTCACGGAAACTTTTGGAGCCATATTTTTCGCACGTGTTCTTTAGTGAAAGTCGTAAAATGGTATGTGGGGCAGAGTTGCCAGATGGTCCGCATTTTGCGGACAAATTCTGCTCTCTGTAGTTGTTTGCCGCTGTCCGCGATTTGTCCGCTTTTCGAGGATCTTTTGTCTTTGCCCTTTTTCCTGTAATGAAGATTTTTACATTTTCATAAAAAATTTGCCGCCGTCAGCTAGGTATAACTCCAGCTCCAACTCGTTAGAATCTATTCGTTCTTTTTCCTTCCTATTTTTTAATTCGTTACTCAACTCCGGTCGTTTAAAAAGCAAACTCTAACTCCGCAAAAAAACAGACGCTCAAGTCCGGACTTAAGTTGCTCAGCTTTGATTCTGATTTCATTAGTTTCTGTTTTAATCGGAATTCTATCACTACCATGCCTTCAGAAAAAGCGCTCTAACTCGAAAATTTCAAATACTAAGATCTTAAAATTCCACTATGCTAATTCTTATGTACATGCTGTACTCCAACAGTATCATAGGAAGTGAGAGATTTCTCCAAAATGACCATATAGATGATTGGGGCTCTCACGGCATCATCTACTCTAAAAGAACAAAAGTATATTCGGAGCTAGCGGTTGTGCGAAGTTGTAGTAGACACTATCTAGTATTTATGATAAAATTCGTAAGATAGCGGAATTTGTACGTTTTAGGGCTCTTTGCAAAAATTGAATATCTCTGCAATGAAACAACTTTTAAGCTTGCCGTTTTCATCATAAATCATCAAAATGTTTGCTCTAAAGAAGCTTCTTACTTTGAACAAAATCTAAAATGATCGATTGAACAGCATTATCTGATAGTAGGTCGTGGCTTATCTTTAACGGCTCATAAACACTATTAAATTCTCTATTTGCATTCATTTTTGAATTTGGTCGCATGCTATGCTATTTTCTGTGTATTATCAAAGAAAGTATTTGCTGCTTCTGTTTTATTCTTTTGTTTTCGCGTTTTTTGTTTGGGTACTGCACTGTTAAAAATATTTACGCCAATATGTACGAGTGTGTGAAAATATGCTACAAACGCTATATAACGAACAAATATTTATTAAACGTTTTATGGAGAGATATGTGTGACAATAGTAATGCAGTATTTAATGATTTAAATATTATCACACATTATCTCTCCATAAAACGTTTAATAAGTATTTGTTCGTTATATAGCGTTTGTAGCACATTTTTACACACTCGTACATTATTTGACGTAAACATTTTTAACAGTGTACGTATCAGCACAACGTTGTCGAAAAGTCCGGAAAAGTTATTTAGAGACAGCCGTACTGCCATTCATAAACTGTTAGTTCTTGTACGATTACTTCTGATGAGATTCTGTCGTTGTATAGTATCGCTAATGTACCATTGTTCGGTCAAATTATCGGTGTTATTATTGTGATAATCCTTCCCTAAAGATAACGTTAATGTTCCATACATAATTGCCGTTGGTACTAACTGAGCAAGCGTAGTTACAGATCCCACTAACCTCGAAAACTTTATTTTTTGTGGTTATTTTTTTCCATTTAATGGAACAGAAGGAAGTCACAATGATGACCAGAAATAAGAAAACTGAGCCGTAGATAATTTTCTTTGCTACATGCGAAGCTCGATCGAAATAGAAGAAAAGAATTCCTCCTTATTGATGCTTATATATTCTCTATAGAAAAGAAAAAATTGAATGAATTGTATAAATATTCAACCATTACATCAGTTAACAAAGACATAATAAAAAAGAAACAATAGAGGCTGAAAAGTAAAGTGAACATTTACACAACAAAAACAAAGAAAAAATAACTATATATAGTATTTGTCAACATTCGAGTAAGCATTACTAATCATCAACTAAAGAATATAATCCTTTAGATGTAAGGATAAAAACGAAAATATTGAATAGTGGCATCGTATGTAAAAATAAACATTTTTATAATATTTACAAAAAGTGTTCTATAAAAACAATAAATATCAAAAATATAGGTTTCTAAGATGATATATATCACAAGTCCATGTCTAATATACACTAACCATTATGAACATAAACAGATACTTGAGACTGATCGTTTGTTCTTCGTTTGAGATATTATTTCACTAAATATAAGCGATTCGAGATAAGGAAAGAAACGAGGGTACTACTATTGCACAACAATGGGATAAGAGAAATATGCAGAGGTGCAGAATCTTCCAAAAAATAAAAAATTTCCCCACCCACCAAAATATTTTCCAGAAATTTCCCCAGGCTGTTGTATCTTAAATTTCCCCCAATAGAACAACTTTTCAAAAAATTTCCCCACCCGCGTGGGTGCGCACGAGGAAGATTATGCACCTCTGGAAATATGAGTCCTCTATGCCTATTAAGCAATTGAAGTTTTCAGCATTATATATTGAACGCATTATTTAGACAAAACTAAAACCAAATCGAAATATATCGAAACAATTACATACTTTGCATTTTGCTTCGACGACTAAAAGAAATAAAACAACACCATTTTGTTATACATGTGTTACATGCTGCATATTTATGCAATTTCTATATTAATAAACTTTTCTAAAAGATATGGTTCCTTACAGACACGTATACTTTGACAGCAAAGGTTTCATCCACATATACAGGCTCAGCGGAGAACAATCTCAAATGATTAAACGATTTTTACGTTAAATACAGTTAGTTTTGCCAATTCGGACATGCTGATTACGAATATAATATCCATTAGTCACCAAACGTTTTTTGCAGTAACATTTTATTTTGCTTTTAACATCGTTCATACTCATTTTATAGGCTTCAAACTAAGAGAACATAGGTAATTTGATGTTCTATAAAATGGCAATCTCTGAAAATTTTCATTTTTAAATTTTTCGGTTTTCTAGAGATCGTCTTTCGAAAATCTGCTCAAGATTCCTGTATGGTGACTAATGGATATCATAATCGTAATCAACATGTCCGAATTGGTATGTTTAACATAAAAATCATTTAATCATCTGAGAATGTTTCCTTGTCAGTCAAAGTACAAAAAAACCCTAGGAAGTGCTTATGTAACACGCATCTTATCGTTTTTAGACATTTATACGTACAAATTCTTTGAATTGATCAATAACTAGCCAACGTTGTGATACGACTTCTGATATTTTTTTTTGTCCCAGAGCTTCTCGAATTCTTATTTTACATTCAATTTTTCCTTCAATTCGTTTTTTATGTTCATGTTCATATAAATCAACACTTTCATGTATTGTACAATTATCTTCTAACGATTGTAATTTAATTGATGATGTACCCAGTATTTTTTCATTCATTTTCATAAATCCTGATCGATAATAGATAATTAATTTCAATTCTTTTCGACTCATCAAACGTTTAAATTTTGCATCATTTCGTTTAATATGAAATTTGAATATTTCAAAATATTCTGGATTTTGTGCACCCAAAACACGTTTTGTTTTGCCTTGCTGCGATGTCTCTGATGGATATGGAAATGCAATATGAACAAATGTTTCCAATGTTTTATCCGTATAACCCTGTGGAATCGGATAATTGATACCTCTTATCACAGTTATCTCAATATCATTTTCGGCTAAATCATTGTTAATTTGAATAATATTCATCTTTCGACTTTCATAATGAAATAATGGTGGTTTTGAACCATGTTGAAAACATTTTCTTAAACTTTCTAAATCACGTTGACAACGTTGTTCTAATTGTTTATATCCTAGAGATTGTTCCTGATCATCCATCTGAGCGTAAACTTGTTGATTTCGCGCACATAATTGAATTTGATGCAATAGATTTTCTTGTAAACGACGATAGATTGTATCACGATCACTATGCAGTAACTCTAAATCTTCATCCAACATTTCAAAATCATTCTCATTGGGTTGTTTTGGAATCTAAGAAGACGCAGAAAACAGTTGGTTTGGATATAGAAGTGAGTAAATAAGTGAAATGACACGAAGCGAGAAATTGAAAAAATCAAAAGTAAAAGTGAAGTTAAAACTCAAAATTCTTGTTAACGATAAAGTTTTAAGTACATAATATCTTCTAGCAAGAAGAACCAAGTGTTTAACAAGAAATATTAGTACGGTTCAATTGGGAAAATTTTGTCCATTGGTTAATGTTTTAGATAATCGACATACTAGAGTCATATCGACTGATAATCCGGATTCAGCTATCGCTACTATTGGTTTAAGTATTTGTAGGACATTCAGAATTTCTTGGCTGATTCCACATCACCTTGACGTTTGGCATCAAGTGCTAATGTGTGAAATTTTTCTCTTTTTACCTTTAATACTTGGGGTATATTGTTATGTTGAGAGTTTTGTGTACCTATTAATAAACAATAAGTCCAGTCAGATGATCATCAAATGCGTGAAAGAATTTTTACTTGGTGCATTGAGTTGAGCAGCTAAAACAGATAAAATCATTTACAAAGACTTTCATGAAAAGAACGTGTTTGCCTGTCGTACTCGTGGAATGAGCTTCTGCAGCGTTTGGTGCTGCGGCTGCTGGTATCATGTGATTTGACGTTTTAGAAAAAGTGGGGCTCTGCGAAGATAACGCTGATAGTGCGTCTGGAGTAACTGTCGTGTTGATTGGCATAGGAGCAAAACTGAGCAAATCATGTAATTCACTGTAATCATAGAATTCTTCATGGTTTGTTGCATCGTTTGCTTCATCATAGTTCTAAAATGAGAGATGGAGAATAAATGGCAAACAAGTGATTGGTTTGACAATAACTAAACTTAACACATATTTTTAGTAACAGTACGAGAAAGTAGCGTTTTTTCCGAATTACAGTTAAATACTTTCCACAGATCTGTTCGATATCGTCTTTATATATCAGAAATTATTATTTCGTAAACCATAGCTTATAATTATCTTACAACTCAAAAACATAAAACCGTAGCTATAAACAATCTACCTTTGACAAACGCTCCGTTCTTTGTGCTTTCGAGTGATCATCACTGACAGTTGCTTCTTCACATCGTTTGTTTAATTCTTCTTGTTGTTGTAATGCTTCCATGACTGTTGTTGATCCTGGTGCTTTCACTACAAAATTTTTATTCTCATTTTCTTCGCCTTTAGCTTGTTCATATGGTGTACTGACACTTGCTCTCGCGAGTATTTCAAGAGTTTCATCTTGTAACAACTAAAATAAAAAATAAAATCAGGTAATTATAGAAATGACTACAGCAACGAATCAAGATTCAGATTCATACCGAAGTAATAAGATTAGTAAGAATGAGCTTATAGAAAAATACAGCATAAAGAACTGTTACGTACGCATTCAAAAGGTACGTGAAAATATTATTACTTTATTTTATTTTATTAAATTAATGAGACGTTAAGTAATAATAGTTTCATCTATCATTTGAATGAGTAAAGGTCTCTTTATACTCTATTTTCACGCTTATTATTGCTGGACGAGAATTTTCAGTTCAAAACGTGTCAATTTTACAAAAGGCAGACAGAGCTCAAAACTTTGGCAAACGTAACTTTTTTTGTATTATGTAGTGTTAACAGACACCAAATATCTAAGTGTTTAAATTATTTGATATTTTTTCTCATTTCTGTGAGATACTATCTAATCATTTCTAGATCATCGACACATTTTGCTTGAACTGCTGATACTTTTAAACGATCTATGGTTTCCTTATTTGGTGAACTAACATTTGTGAACGAAACAGAGCGCTCATGAAAGTGGCAAACTTCAATTTTTCCTCCGAGATTTACTCGATGCTGAAGATGATTGAGTCGAAGACTGATGTGATTGTTGTAGAGTGATACAAACCGGGACTGTCGTAGTAGCGATGACAGATTGCTGCTGTGGTGATGGTTGTCTTTCATTCTCTTCAGATTGAGAAAAACCAAGATCTTGAGTGATGTTGCTCGAAGATTGTACAGTCGTAGAGGTCAGTGTCACAGCACATGGCGGCAATGAGACATTTACTTCTGGGGGAATATCATCTTCGTTAATCGGAATGCCAGTTTTTACCGATTGTAATAATTGTTGAATTACCTAAAAAACGATTAAATGTGTGAAAAACAACTATAATCTGATCCATTCTGCGTCATCATTTACTTTCAACTGTCTTTCAAGTCTTCTTGCTCTTGCTGCTTCGTTGTTATTATTGGCATTTATAATAACTTTTTCATACATAGTTTTTCGTTCTTCTAACAATGGCAATAGGTGTCCTGTTGAAAGTTTTTGATGTTGTTGTTCTTGTTGTAGACTGTTTTCATTTCCTGTATTCGCTAATTCGCCATATATCCCGTTTAATTCAGCCTAAAAAAGAAGAATAGGCAATGTTAATCCAGTAAAAATATTATTTTCGACACCAGAATGGTTGTCAAGAGAAGTATCCATAAACTACTATTTTATCCAGACGGGTGCGGATGTATTTCTACTACTGGTCTATAACAGATTTCTACAATCTTTTCATCTAACGAATAATCTGCTGTAATGTTTCTTTATTTTAAAAACGTGCGCACTACCATACCAATACATCTGGATCATCCTCATCTGACAGATCTTCGTCATTAATTGGTTTTTCGATACCAGCTAATAATTTGCTAACATCCATGTGAAATGAATTTAAATCTTGTACTAAAACATCACAATGAAATAAAATGATGGTCATACATTGTTTCCACAGGACTTACTAGGTCTGGGATCAGTTTTTCTGGTAAGTTTCGTTTGTCCATCACCTGCATCTTCTTGAATTTTCCGCAATTCAGCTTCCAAATCATCGTCATTATCATTGTCATCCATATTGGGCGTTGTCAAACCCATCAAAAATTTATAAAGAAAGAAAATCGTTAGATGAAATCTGTGTTTCACTTAATAAGTAACAGAAGACAAACATATTTCAGCTAAAATATATTTGCCGTTCGTTAACATATGTCCGATTATAGTTGATATTGCTCAAATTTAGAAATTAAGTAATTATTGTTGAGCTCATGACAACATCAAATTAGATATATGGCAGAAAGTTCGCTCAGTAGTCTGCTTGCATTTTGCTTTCTCTGTCAATTTACCTGTTGCATCAGAGCGGTACCACCATCACCTCCGCGTGAATGACGATTAATATTATTCTTTATTCCAGTGTTTGATTTGTCACTCTTTCCTTTGAACATTATCTATTTAGTTTTATTTTTCAGAGAAAACTGTTATCTCATAAACAAAACAAAAACATTAAATATTAAATCTGAAATGAAATTTATTAGCGAACTAAATTATCTCAATCAACCAAAACATCTTCATAGAATCATGATAGAAAGCATGGACGGGTCGGGAATTTTTTTTTAGAGAGAACAATAAATATTTTAGAGTAATGCATACACAAACGTGCTTCTCTTCATAATTTTTGTCCGTGCTAACACACTTTTCCTTCATTTAAACTGAATATCAAATTTTTCGATCAAGAATTGCTCTTGCTTTATATTGAACTTCGGACAGAGACTCTGCTGCGAAATATAATTCTTTACAAGGCAATAACTTCTTATTACCCTTGATACTTTTTTTCAGGAGGGGCAATTGCGGCCCCAACTGCCGTGCTGGCGGCCCGCCAATTCTAGAAAGCCAATTAGACGGGAGGAATTTTCTGTGAAAAATAGCGGATTGAGTATTCGAACTTACTTACAGTCAGTGCATTTCTTTTTAATTCATGTGCATCTAAGAGAAAAAGTTGATACATGTCATAAGCCTGGAAGCCTCTGGCTAGATGTCAATCGTTCAGTTGACACGTTCACCAAGACTTAGAGAATTTTTCTGTTTTTTATCATGTTTTAGAAGAACGATCTAAAACAGATTTCCTAGAGATTTTCATTTTTTTCCTAGACCTCGCTGTTGGTTATCGATTAGACACCCTACATAAAAAATCTGCTTCCCATTGGTTCGTCACGAATGCTACGGATGTCAAATCTTTTCCTCAGTTACTGTTTTGTTTTGACAACGAATTTCTATAATACCCCATCATCTATTTTATTTGAAATATTACAACATTTCCTTAGCGACACGTGATAAAAATTAAATAAAAATAAATAATGTTAAGTTAATGACGAACGGAATCAAAAGCAGTGCGGCATGACCCTGTAGCACGAAATAATAGTATTGCCGCACTTTTTTGCTATTAATACATAAAAAAATGTGCCTATTTCGGTCACTTTTTTCGGTTTTCAAATATAAAAATCAATTGAATGAAAAGTGTTGGATTTAAAAAAGAATCAAATGAAATTTTAGTGCGTGTTTTTGTTGTTTAATTATCTGATAGAACTACCCAAATGTATTTACTGCTTTACACTGTAGAGGGCGTTGCTTTGCGAGTATTTCAATAATTCTAGTCGATCATCAAAAAATTGTATGGTTCGTTTTTGTTATTTTTTTGTAATTAAGTTTTGTAATTTTGTTATTTTCGTTTTTTAAACGATGTTAGTTGTTATTTTCCTTTTCCTCTTCTAAACGAAAATAGAGAACTACCACGTCTTATTCTGTCCATCTTAATACTGAATGTTTTCTTTCTTTTATCCGTCTTATTTTAAGATATCATATCACCGATAAAAAAAAAATTAAAGTTTGTTTAGAGTTTAAGAAAAGTGCTTTTTCGTATTCAGCACACTTGATAATCTGAAAAATTTTCTGTCTTTAGCGAGGGTACCGCCAGACAGTTAAGAAAATTTTTCAAAATTGTGTAATTTTACCATGGGGATTTTTCTGCATCAATTTGTTTAAAAATTTTTCTCAACTGTTTGGCGGTAACCCTCGTTAAAGATAGAAAGTTTTCCAGGTTATCAAGTGTGCTGAATACGAAAAAGCACTTTTGTTTAACTCTAAATGAGCTTTAATTTTTCGTCGGTGATATGTTTCATTATGTAAGATATTTAATCCATCATACTTACGAAGAAGAGGCATTTTTTACCATCAGAAGAACTCGTTTTCCATTTTTTCTCAATAATTGAGAAATGTTTATACATATTTAATGTCAATTATTTATATATATGAACGTTTAAATGTATGGTGACAATCCGAAGACTATCCCCAGATCTGCAGGTGATCTCGATTGTCAGGAACATGATATAAATAAATTTTTGTGGATACTTCTGCGATCAAAATTAACAGAACAAAATATAAACATCTGGCTCTCGTATGTTGCATATACATAATTTTTGAATATACTCAAAATCTCTAATATCTATCCGGCCGAAGAATTTTAGGAGATATCGAAAGTCCGATTTTGACTGTTGTTGTGAGTATTGCAAATCAATTGTGATGAATATGAAAACTTGCTTTTTGACTTTATTAGAAATGTGTGAAATTTGAAATGTGCAAAGAAGTTCTGAGTGAACCTAAGGAATTTTTTTTCCAGCTTTTCTCTATATAATCTACCAAAGAAGTATTTGGTACAAAGATATTTATTGAAGAAAAAAAAACGTTGGAGTTTGTATGCTAATAAAGAAACACTCAGTGTTGAAATATTTCTCAAGAACAACTTCAGCACTACTCCTCAAAGCACTTTTTATCGCTACTTATATGGCAAAATATTGTTTTCTTTGTTTGCCATAAATGTCCATCACTGCACCACCTGATGTGTGTCAATTTCTGTTACATAGAATAACGTGTGAAGTTGTCACATCGTTCTTTATTCTCAGTATCAAAGTAGAAATTTTTTTTATGGAGACACTTCGTCTGTTCGTTCTCTGATTTCATACACTTTATATCGTTCCTGACAATGAAGATCATCTGCAAATCTATATTCGATAGTTTTCGGATCGTTGCCATACATTTAAACGTTCATATATATAAATAATTAACAATTAAATATGTATAAACATTTCTCAATGAGTCTTTTTGATGGTAAAAAAAAATGTCTCTTCTTCATAAGTATGATGGGTTAAATGTTTTAAAATAAGATGGATAACTCGATTCAAATCCAAAATCTGTGAAACAAGCTACTTTTGTTCACTTGTCCGATTCCTTTCTTCTGTACTTGACACTGGCATCTTACTTATTAAGTAACATTATGATATGAGACTCGTGTGGCGTCTGTCAGGTAAAAGAATGCTTCATAACATATTCTTGCCTTCGTCACTTCATATTTAATTCGGATGACTACTTATAAAAAATTCAACTTTTCACAGAAAATGATGAAATGGCTATTTCGATCCTCAAAGAAGCTACCAAAAAGATTTTTAGAATTCTCTATTTGTTCTCATTTTCAGTTCAAATCCTTTTTAAAAAGTGCAATTCTCTATGATCCTTTGCTTCAAAAATTTCCAGTTCAAGGCTAAGACATCATAATGAAATTGGAAAAGGAAATTGCTAATAAAACGTTTATATAGGTTTCACTTTATTTAAATAAAAAAGGTTTAATTAACGTTATATACGCTAAGTTCAATGAAAACATGTGACATTGCAGTGGTCTAACTTGACTGTGCTACGCTTCTTTCAACTTTAGAAAACGTATGAAGATTTAGTACATTTATCGTAACAACATTTCACTGTTTGCTTTTTTGACAGTATATGTAGATAAAAGTTAAAGTTACCGTTGTTTCCTTTTTGGCTCCAAGTAGTAGTTACAAGGAGCGACGATCTGCGTCAGTTCGCATTGATCCTGGCTCCTTGAAGCTACTATTTGGAGCCAAAGGGAAAGTAAACAGCGATAACGTAAGTTACTGGTATAATATTAATGACTCATCCTTCGTAAAGAGAATGGATGATGTTACAACAAATTATTTATTTTTGGCTCACTTATACAGATGTTGTTAAAATATTCGCGTTAATGGCACAAAATTATATTTTTATTGGTTCTGAAATTTTATAAACGCCTGTCTGACATCTGTTAGTATATTATATCTAATATTCTGGATTATCCTTGTATCTTTTTATAAACACAGCAATTGAATTCAGTTATAATTTGGGAGGAGGGTACTTTGAATGTGATAACCGAGGAGCAGAGAATTATTTTCAGATTATGCAAGGCTGTGAAACCGAATACTACGAATAGAGAGAGAGGTCAACTCTATTTCTCCTTGGTGAATTAAGACTAACTCAAATTATGAAAATTTAGTTTATATTCATTGATAAACCTTTGCTCAGAATCGCTTTCTTTTCAGGAAATTAGTAGATGCATTGGACTAGAAGGATTTTTGTGATCTTATCAAAGCGAACATTATAATATGTATTATTGTAAACTGCCGTATTGTACACTGTTTTTAATAAGACTTTACCACTGTATATATGTGTACATTCTGTTTTTCAGAGCATGCTACATATGAATGAAACAAAATATGCGTAGTGCACACGCTCTGAAAGCAATAGATATCAGTTGAACTAGAAGCTAGAATTTTTTGGAAAACAAATACACAGAGAATGTATAGAAAAATTACAATGACAATTTATATTTAACAAGACATCTAATTTTTATTTAACTCACAGATATTTTGAATAGAAACGGTTCAACTATCTTTTGCTTATTTTATTTAACTCATTTCTGATTATTTGAAATGCAAAAATAAGTGAACACACATTTAGTAGAGAAAACAAACAAAGTCTTTCTCTAATTGTTCTTAAAATTTTTGCTTCGCTTACGTAAAATTGCTGTTTTTCAATATTTTCTGACCTTTGGTTTATACTATAGATCATAGTGTCTTTTCCCGTTTCGATTTGATATCAAATAGATTAGTGATAGACTACTAAAGTTCGACTTCTTATTTGTCTGTTTTTTAGGCTGAAAAAAAAATACTTATATACAATTAAATTGTTTGCTATCGGATAAGCAGGGAATCTATTTGAAGAAAAAAAGAAATGTACACAACAGAAGCAAAGTGTACATACATTTTATCTTTTTCACACGGTCTAAAATAGATTGTACATTTAATTTGTAGTGTGTAATGTACACTTATCATTAGAAGTACTGATCTCATATTCTTTGTTTTCTGCTTACTAGAATGAACATACGCACTCTTTAGTAGAAAAAAAATATATAATGACTGTCGATTATTTCTTCAGTTATTATTCATGCATCACTATCTTTATTCATATATGAACAACACACTGACTAAGTTTCAGAGTTCATTTGCTTTTTATATTTTAGAGTTGAGTATTGACGTTAGAATTTAAGCTGTTGATTTGTGATAATTCTCATCTTTGTCATTAAACAAAACCAAATATGTCTTCTTGGTTCATCGATTCAAACAAATTAAAACAATTTGCAGCATCAACTTTAATTAACGCTCAAAAACAAATTGATAAAGTTCTTGATATTAAAGAAGGAGCAACGCCTTCTCAAACAACATCAATACCAACCACTAGTAAGTTATTCGATGTTTTTAGTATTTTCAAATGAAATACGTCCAATTACGACTATAAATTTATTATCTGTATATTTAGACTAACGAGAGTATCCAATAAAATCTTCTAACAGTTTTAGACAATCTTTTACTGGAAAAAGTCTGAAGTGATTTGCGTTGTCGTAGAATAGAAAAAAAAGAAAATATTTATTTAATTATGTGTGCCGTTGTTGTGATAAAATAGTAATATGTTTTTCTCTATTGTTTCTGTTAGACGCAAATGAACCAGTATCGTCGTCGTCAGATGTTGTTCAAACAACGGCAGATGAATTTTTTACAGCATTTCTTGGTAGTGATAAAGAAAAATCAAAATCTCATACGACTCAAACCACACATAGACAAATGACTAGAGCTCAGACTCCACCATATCGATCATCCACATCTTCTTTATCAGAACATCAATCGAGTGAAAATAGGGACGTGACAACTAGAACATCAGATCATCTTGTAGAAATCAGCAATAATAATCAACAACAACAAAATAGAGATGAAATTAGTCAGAAGAAACTAACGACTGAACCAGACGAACAACAGCAGCAACCAGATATTGAACAAGAAAACAAAATTCAATCATTCGACAGTCAAGCAATTTCATTTCCAATGAATGCATCGGTCTGGGAGGGTTCCTGGATCGAAAATGCTAAAAATAGAAACAGTGATAATCAGAATGAAGTAAGTAAATTTGTATACTACAGAGTAAGTCTTACTCTGAAAGTTAAATGTCCGGAATGATATGTACGAGATCAACAAAGACAGACGACTAGCGGAAATAATGATAACATTACTATTTTCCATTATTCTCGCATCCGTTAGACCTTCTAAACCTTATTATTTCCCGCAAAAATTCGCTATTCAATTCTCTATAAAGATCTATAAAGAATTTTCGATAAAAATATTTAATAGTAAAAAAAATACAGAAAAAGTCTAGCGAAACACCAGCAACACAAACTTCCTAAATTTAGAAACAAGCGTCAAAATTGACCAAGTTTTGATGTTTTTCAATGTGACTTTTCTGGAGATCAACAAAATCGAATAGGTTTTGCACTGACAAGAGTGATGAGAGTGAGCGAAAAGAGAACATTTCAAAAGCTGAAAATCTATGAAATGAAACTTAGTTTAAGAAAATATCGGGTATAGTACATTTTGTACTATGGTTGAAAGAAGAGAGTGAGTTTAAAAAGGTTCAGGATTGCCGCAGAATGTAGGTGTACGATTTATATAAGTGGATCACTCAACGTCAGTTAATCTGTATGTATAGTTCATTCTCTTTATCTTAAGTATTATATAATTTTCTGATTTCCTTTCCTGTTCTTGAACTTAATAAACCAGAACATTGCACGAGGCAGAAACAATACAGTTAACACCATAGAGATGTTCTAAAAATCCTGCCTTGAGTCAAACTCTGGTTACATTGTTTTATGTGTCATTTTTGTATAGGTAGCCGAAATCTCAAGTCATGAAAATCAGAATCAAATATCTGATGATGAAACAAAGATTGATGAAACAACTGAATCTTCTCCAATGATCCAATCTGCTCTAATACCTAGTGTGGTGAATGATGAAAATATGCAAAAATCAACTGATTATCAAAGTTTTTTTCAATCAGTCATTGATTCAAACGATCAGAGTTTTGTAGAAGAAAAACACGTCCCAATAAAGACTATTGATATTGATGAAGAAGAGCACGTCGCAGTAAAGACTACTGATATTGATGAAGAAGAACAAGTCGCAACAAAGACTACTGATATTGATGAAGAAGAGCACGTCGCAGTAAAGACTACTGATATTGATGAAGAAGTGTCATCTTCAACATATTCAACGATTAATCAAACTACTGAACGTATGTGTCAAATCTTTAATATAAATCTCTGTTCAACCGTTTCTTCTGGAAAGAACTAAGTATAATTGTGTATTTTTTAATGTTATTTTAGCTCAAAAATTGTTAAATGATGACGACACTCCCGTCAACGATCTACTTGCCGCCTCACCGCTTGACAATAATAATAATGATTCAATTGATACGAGTTCAACCTCAACTACTCTCACACATAATTCTCAAACAGTTATCACAAGTTCAAGTAGTAGTAGCGGTGGTGGTGGACAAACGCCTTCTACTCTTGATTCTTCCACTACACTTGTTCCACCTAAACAGTTAGAAAAATTAACCGTTCGCATATCCGAGTCATCTTCTTCGACAACAACGACAATAGCTGAAGATAAAGATCTTTTAACACCAAAACCATCTACGTTTGACCATCCTGAATTCTTGAATAATAATAGTCCAATAGACACATTTTTGTATGAACAAGATATGAATGAAGATGAAGAAATATCATTGGCAACAAAAAATAGAAATGTCATTGATTTATGGATGAATAAAGAGAGTAATATTTTAATGTAAGAGAAATGAAATTATTTTACTAGCATTCACACTACGTTTGAAGGAGAATACGTGGTGAATTTTATTTTGTATCGATAGTTTTAAAAGATTATTCATATTGGTACCAACAGATCTTCAACAAAGATGAAATATTCTACAATTTTTTTAAAAGCATATTAAATACGTCCATTTATAGAGAATTAGCTTATGATTTTTTGTTTGCTTAATATTTGATTTATCCGTTTCTAAACAAGTGTTCTTTTTTTGATTTTAGGCGTGCTAATACTAGTAATAATCTATCATTTTCAACATCTCCTGCGTATTTTGATAATTATCCTCCGTCTGAATTCCATACATCAATGATAGAACCAACAGTTGCCACACAAGATCAGAACCAACAATTAAAAAAAGATATTCAACCGGGTTCACCAACACATACAACAACATCTTCGAATGGTCCAGATAATACGGTAAACATGTGACATGTGGTTGGATACGGCACTAATTCATATTTTTTGTTATGTAATGTAAGGACAATGATAGTGAAAATACTCTTGTTTCTTGCGAAGAGTTACTTTAAATAAGGATTTTCGAATTTCAATTGATCTGACGGTAATGTTATTGATGCTAAACGGATGAAAACGCTTGCAACTACAATTCCATCAATAATACCGTAGTATTAATAATTATTTCATTATTCTAGTCAGGTAAAGATTCATCTGCCGAAGATGAAAAGCAAACATCGTGTGCATCGTCTGATATCGACATAATCTCAAGTCCTTCTATCAATGGTGGTTCACTACATGGTTATGACAATTGTCGAGAATTTGTTAATGCCAATAGGCAAAATATCAGAGAAGTAAGTTTAGCCGTTTTTACAGCAGCCCCATGTATAAGTGTTCAACGTTGATCTTTCTTATTATTCATACTGTATGTTTTCCTTGGTTATTCATAATAGTAACGTTAACTGAATGGAGATCTCTGGAATTATTTTGTTTTAATGAATACTTCTTGCAAGAAAGAGAGAGAGACGCTTATAAACAACGTGATGAACTTTACTCTCTTTCAGGTAGTTGTTAAATTTCCGCATCAAGGATTAAAACAGCAAACTCCTAATACGTTGAATATGCCAACGTGGTCTAGTTTAATTGAACAGTCAACAGCCGATCAGATGCTTCTAGATAGTGTACGTAAGTTCAACAGGAAATATTGTCTTATTTTACTTGTTTCAATTATTTTTATCTCCCTATAGCAAGATGAATTTGAACGACCATTGTCTGACGAAGAACAAAGTATGTTAGAGTTATGACTAGTATGTTTGATTTAATTTTATTTCTTCTTTTTGTTGTCAAGAAAATCATACAACTAATCCATCTGTCTCCAAAGTAAGTGAGCTTGTTTATCACACCATGCTGTATTTGTTGTTGTTTATGTTGTTTGTATAGGAATTATCGGACATCAAGAAAAAGCTAGAATTAAAAGAACAAACAATATCTAAATTGACAAATGAAAATTTAGAAGTACGAAAAACAAATCAAACTTTAAAACAGTAAGCTGTAAAAAAAAGTTATCTATTTTCTTTTTCCATCATTTTCTCGTTTAATCTAGATCATTGGCTGAATCAGAATTAAAATTAGTGAAAATTACAAATGAATTTCAACAAACTATTGAAAATCTAACGTTGCGTTTAGAACAGCAAAAACCTATTGTACAGGTATGTTTAGTTGAGATGATACATCCTAAAGGCAGCCTTATTCTGAATTAGCTTCATGTTCATATCGGCTAAGCAGTACAATTTTTATTTTTGGTAATCATTATTATATTTTATTCATTTTTTAAATAAATTAGGATAATATGAATTTTTCAGTTTAATCCATCTCTATTCTAGGATCGTGATAATTTGCGTAAACAACTGGACACACTTCAAAAAGAATTATTTGACAGGTAGTATGACTATGTTTATAGTATAATTCAAGGATAAGTAATAAATAGTTTTCTGTTTTGTTCACTATTACAGTTCAACTGTCTCGGGAAATACATTGAATATTCTGAGAGATAAAGAAGAGCAAATTCAACAATTATTAGATGAAGGAGAAAAATTATCGAAAACACAATTGCAACACACAAATATAATTAAAAAATTAAGAACAAAAGAAAAAGAAATGGAATTGACCGTTAATACTCAAAAGTAGATAGTTCAAACATTTAATGTGTTAATAATATTCAAATTTTATATTTTCCGTTTATTTTAGTGCTAAAATAGAAAAATTAACAACAGAACTTGATGATTTAAAAAAATCCTCTGAAGGACGTGATGAAACAGACAAACAATTGAGAGGTTTGATGTTTCAATAGTTTTATCATACAGAACGTTTTATCATTGTTTTATTCTACTTTACAGAAAACCTTAAAAAATACGAAAAAAATATACAACATTATGAAAAAGAATGTTTATCGTTAAAAAGTTTACTGGAAGATGCTGAAGAACAAAATCGTAGTATGAAAGTAGCATTAGAAAGTTCCTACAGGTAAGAAAATTCGCTTGATATGATAATTGATCGATAATTTTGAATTTTTATTTTTATTTTGTCTTGTTCAGATATATTATCCTTTGAAAGTTTATTGTTTTTATTTGTATCTATCTAGAGATATAACTGAATTAAATAAAACAAAAGCTGCTAGTGAGAGTAAAGTTGTTGAAGCAACATTATCAGCTGAAATTGTATTAAAAGAAGAAATTCGATTAGCAATTGATAAAGAACGTTTACAATCACGACAAGAACAAGAAAAATTACACATAACAATAGATGATTTAAGACATACGATACAACGAACAGAACAAAATTTATCGCGAAGAGAACAACTATTAAGACAAGAAATCAATGATTTAAGACAAGTAAGTAGATAGATTCAATCAAGTCCATTTTTAAGTGGATATGTCCAAAACGGAATGAGTGGTAATTAATTCTCCAATGTATTACACATTGCTGAAAACATCGATGCTTTAACTCAAACACTTCACTAATCATTTTTTGAGCTAACTTTTCTCGTAAAAATGAGACACAGTACATCTGTGTATAACTGTGCCTCAATAAGTGACAAACATTTTTCCACAAAAACCTTTTTTTACGTTTGTAGATCTTCGTATTTCTCAATAATCGCCGCTCAGGTAGATAACGGAGATTTCGAATTGATCTTAAAGCGAAGCTAATACGTAAGACTACAACACACAAGAGTGGAATGTTGCAATTCCGGTCTAGTTTTAAACAAAACGAAAGCTATTTTGGAAAATTAAATCAGATTTTGCGGCTCTTGCTTGCCAAAAAATACTAGAACAAAAACTCAAAACATCCAATTCTTGTATGTTGTAGCTAGCTAAAAGTCTTTAAGATCAAACTGGGATCTTCATCATCTATCTGGATGGAGATTTTTGAGAAATACAAAAAGTCCCATTTTCAGCCTTGTTGTGGCGATATCTCGCGAACGGAGACACATTGAAACTTCAGAAAAGTTTGTCAACATACTTTGGAATAGTCAGTAGTCGGTTGAAATTGAACTTATAGATGAACTATCTTTTCTAATAATACAAATCGTTGCGTAATGTCCTCACCCTCAAAAAATACTATGTGACTAGATAAGTCAGTTCAGATTCTTTATTTCTGTTAAAATTGGTGCTTTGAATACAATCTTTTTGATTGGTGTATTCCACTTGTGTATCAATCTCGAACAACAGACAGAAATTGTTTCTCTTATAATTTATAAGAAAATTATTTACTGATAAATGAAATTATGAAATGATACGTTTTTAAATGTGTTTACTTACTACTTGATAATCAATTTTCTATTGCATTATCTATTAGTCATTTCATTCTGTCTCAGCCTTTGTCACTGAAAAATTTCAACACTTTAATTTGATGATGAGTATTATCGACCGTTAACAAATGTGTTAAAAAGATTAAACAACGACAAATTGTATTTGAGAAAATGAAACACTAACTATACTGTAGTGGAATTTTTTTAAACACTGAAGATTGAGATAAAATGAGCTAATAAAAATTTAGATAATCGCTTATTTAAAAATGTCTTTTTATTTATAGCGTCTTCAAGAAGCTGAAGCAAGAAATGAAGAATTAACACAAAATATTTCACATGGTAAGTGTTACTACCATATTATCCTTTATTTAAATATTTTCTTTTTTTATCTAGCTACAAGACCGTTATTAAGACAAATTGAAAATCTTCAAACAACATATTTGGCACAAATTAATTCATTAGAGAAAGCAGAAAAACAATTAACGGATAGATTAGGTAATGTATAATCTATCGTCCTTTTTTTTTGCTTTTTATATCAAGTTAATTGTTTTTCTAGCTGATATGCAAATGCAATATGCAACAAGTATTGAACATGAACGAATAGCTAATGAAAATTTACATGAATTAAATACAAAATTGAAATTACTCGAAGCACAATTAAATACATTGAGACAAGAAAAAATGAAAAATATATCTGAAATAGATGTACTCAAAATGAGATTATCAACATTTGAAGATACAAAATTAAGGTAGAAAGACGAATAAAAATGGTAGAAAATATTATTTTTATATGGTGTATTCTAGAGAACGTAGTCAAATGGAATCAATGCAAGAAGCATTTACACAACAAATCAATAGTCTTATACAGGAAAAAGTAGGTGAACATAACAGACAGTATACTCGTTCTCCTTCTAATAGAATTTAGAAAGTATGAATTTAGTTTTGTGGTTTACTGTAAATCTAATTTCATATATTCAAATCTCTATCCGTACAAAATTGATTTTGCGGTGTTTTTCAATAGTTTTAGTTTAGAATACTATAAAAGGAATATTTTCGCTTGTATTCTGTCTGAAAGAATAAAGCTTATATCAATTTAGAAAGATATATGAGAAATAGATCACATCGATATACACTTAGATAAAAAATAACTTTTAGCCGATAGTAATTTAAAAATTTTTGTTCTTTATGTCTAGAAACAATTGGAAATGGATTTTGAATTGGAGAGAATTAAATATGATAATGATTTGAAAAAATTACAATTTGTTCAAGATTCATTACGTGAAAGAGTATGTATTGTCTGATAATTGATTAATTTTATTATTGTTTGTATCTTTTATTCAGCAAGAATTATTAGAAAATCGACAATTAAATCGCACTGAATCAAATTTAGAAACATTGTCATCTCAACGTAGTAGACGTTCATCTCAAACTGAAACATCACTATCAAGTACAATATTACAATCTGAACAACGTAGTCCATTTATTCCAACACCAAAACCGTCGGTTTATGAAGCATTGCGAAATACAGGTGCTATCGCTGTCCTTGAAAGCTTAGAATCACAATTAAAAGAAAAAGAAGGAGAAATTGCTTTATTACAAGTAAGTTAATTCAAAATTAAAGAAGGGAAGATATCTAATTGATAATTATTTGTATTATCATTTATTATAACTGTAAAATAAAAATCAATATGATATTTAATTGACATTTTTAGAGTGAAATAGCCGATTTGGAACGTACAAGAGAATCGATGGCGCGTGAATTAGTGAATTTATCAAATCAGAATGAATTATTACAATCACAATTACGTGATTATCCAACATTAGAAATAAAATTCAAAGTAAGCATAAAGATAATATCGTGATTAAAACATCTTGCATTGTACAATGGATTTATATTTTGTTTTCGCCTGTTCTTCTTAAAAACCTAGAGTTTATAGTTTACATATTTTGCAACAGGTGTTTTTACATATGTTACATGGTTAAATTTCTATTATATTTCCTCTTACAGCAATTTCAACAACGTTATGATGCATTATTGACAATGTATGGCGAAAAACAAGAGGAAGCAGATGAATTACGATTAGATTTACAAGATGTTAAAGCGTTGTATCGTGCTCAAGTAAGAAGATGAGAGAAACTAAAGACTTTTTTTTTTGTCCAAGATCATTAAGAATATAAAACAATTGAAAAAACGTCAGAAAAAAATAGAACTAAGCATGAAATCTGATACGGAGGCAGCGGAATGATTCTGAAACTATGGATGCTCACGGACAAGAACAAAAAGAAAAAAGAAATTGCTTCCAGAAGAAAATGAAAATTCTTAAAATCTATGAGTGCCAAGCCACCCATCCCCATGATTCGATCGCCTCTGACGAGTTTTTCCTCTATATTTTCTATACTATATTTTTTGACCATATCGTAATTCTATTATCTATTATAGATTGATGATTTGTATCAACAGGAAAGATGATGTAAATGACTACATAAAAAAATATTTTATGATCTCTAGTCAACAACAACGATTTTGGATCAGGTGTGGGTTTTCTTTTATCTTGCTGATCAATAAGCATTAACAGTGTGAAATGAAAAATCCTTTTCTTGGAGCTTTCTTTTTTCTACAATATGTTCATTACTGTGATACACATCAAATAAATAGATAATTTTTTGTTATTCTTAATCTCTTATTTTGTATATGTGATATGTGAATAATGTTTTCTTTCTTCCTTTAAATATGTCTTTATTGTCTAATTATTTATTTAATATCAATATTATATAGTTAAAAAGTTTATTAAGTATTTTGAGTATGCATAACTAAATATGTTTTGTTGTTTTATTTATTATTAATAATAATCAATGGACGATATGCAAAACTTTTGGTTTATAAAGTATCAGTTGAACTTTTCTTAATTTATTCTTTTCTATTTAAATAAATGAGTTGCAGATACTCTTAATAGAGGCTCAGAAATTGATTCTGCATTGAACCATTCCTTAGCTCATTATAATTATCATATGAAGAACTGCTGTCGAAATTAACCATCAAACAACCGTTTTTATGTCTTTTCATTATGACTCATACTGCATCGGTGGTGACTGTAATACCAAACCCTGATAGAACACTAAAAGTACATTGCCAAAAAATAACTTCTATAATTTCTTCTGTACTCACGTTAATGAGATTTAACGCATGATACAGAATAAATAACTCTTTTCGTATTTTTTTGCATAACGTTTTTTATTTTTTGACCATGCAGACTTAAACTTCTTATTCAAAGATTCGCTATTCTATCCTCTACAGAAAACACGTCGAACATGTTTTTTTATATACTGTAACTAAAAAAATATGGAGAAAATATTGTGAACCTTCAATCTTGACAATTTTCTAACGCAAAACAAAGAAAAAAAATTATTTTGAAAACACTGCCATGTATCTGAGTCGAGTGATATATTGTATATAATGTATGTTCTAATGCTCGAAATGTCGTCTTTCTTTTCATGTATAATAGATCCGTTTTGAACGTATTTTTTAGCACAAAAGTAGATTTTATTCACCAGAAAAAGGAGAGATTTAACTTTTTCGCCTGGACATGGGAGAAAAAACGGAGCTATTGTACCTCCTCTGTTCGGATGTCACTGGAGAATTATTTCGCTTTAAAGTAAAAAAGATCAACTTCAAAATATTTGATTTGGTCGAGTTATACAAAATTTATCAGCTGCCCCAAAACTGCAGTTTGAAAACGATGATTTTTGACAAAAACCAATAGAAGAAAAAACTTGAATTCCAACCGCTTGTGATGAAAAGTAACTGTTGTTTTCAATATGTTTCTCAGTTAATGAACCAAATAAACTTGCATGATGAACGCTACTTGTTCAATATGGTCCTGGAGAAACTATCTATCTATTCTGTGGTTCTCAACTTAAGAATCACGGAGCCAATTACCACAAAAACTTGAGCGAACAACGGTATAGTAGCGATGCATTGTTGTTTATTTGCATTATAACAACAGGATCCCATCAGGCACACACGTCCAATAAACTAACAGTTTATGAATTGGTAGACTTTTACAAGTTCTGAGAGCATATTATTTGGGTTAAAATAACCTGATAAGTACATTTTCATAGTGAGTTTGTTGATGCAGCAGAAGGCAGTGCTTTTGATGTTATAGATCCAAAATTCGGTGACTTTATATCACATGTAGCAAACGCCAAAGCACGACAGTTGATTGAGCTCAAATAGTAAGCATAGCGCATTTAGAAAGATGTTGATCGCGCGAACTATCAAAGCAGCTGATCTGAAGAGCAATCATGCAAACGTTAATAATTATTAAACAAATTAGCTAATTTAATAAACTGTGTGATCTAACGTACTTGGCAGCATGTGAGCGATTGACATACTACATTGTTTATGTGGTTATACTAACTATTTGTTTTAAGATTGAAGACTCTTTTAATAATGATGTTTATATAGTATTATCGATTGTCTAGTTGTACTATTCCTCAAAACATATTCTTTAATAACCAATTTTAGTTCATGACGTTTAGTCATAAAAACACAAATATAAATCAGTTTCATAGATGAAAAAGTTATCTAAACTCAATTGTTCACTATATTTTATTTTTGACATTCATAGTTATTGCTAAATTGACGGTATAAACTGGAACAAATGGGATTGAAATTAAATAAACAATAATTCGATTATTAATACGTTATTTGATAATAACATTTTCTTATGCGTACGTTTGTCGTTATAACTGCACCAAGTGTAATACGTGAAATAGTATTTTTTTTCGTTGATGAAATAATAGGATTCAGTTGTTAAATGATATACTGTCACAAGACTCAAGCAGCACGAATTTAATCTAAATGACTTTTCGAATGAAATATGATGAAGTTTAAAGTATTATCACCATTGTCGTTTGACAACAACCCTGTCGTTTTATAACGATCAATTTTTTATCACATAAATCTCAACTTTAAAACTAGAAATGATGTCGATGTTAACGTCAAGCTCTTTCTACAGATATCTTCAAAAAATTTTGCGTTATTCAGTACCGATTTCTTGGTACTATTCGCTGCTAGTAACACGTCAATCGGAAAAACGTTATTAAAACTGCTGATATTTACGAAGTTGAAAATGAGAAGGTAAAAGTTTTCGAAACTTTTTGAATACAAAATAGCAAGTTTTCTCTTCATGGAACGTAGCGAGATTTTTCAAAATATAGCTGGTCAATTCAACTAGCCAACTGTAAGAGTCCCATATATTCATAGTCATCATTATTCTCAAAAAGGTTGGATGTTAGCTTGACCATGTGACTTTACACCAAAAATTAAATTTCATTACGTTTTTACTATTTTGTACTCTTAATTCGTTTTAAGTGGAGATAAATCCAGAACTCTCTAACATTTTGATTTATAGAATGAACTGTACTGAACATTATAAAACGTTCTCACACTCTCCACAACCTTCAGATTTGCAGACACATCAAGCATACAGTGTTGAAAACTAAGCTACTAGAATGTCTTCAGTACGCTTGATGTGTCTGCAAATCTGAAGGTTGTGGAAGATGTGAAAACGTTTACAACTCATTCTATAAAACAAAACGTAAGAGAGTTCTAGATGTATCTTCACTCAAAACGAATGGAGGATATAAAGTAGAAAACAAACGCATCAAAGTTTTAGTCTTATAACAAAGTTAATTTGTTTTACTATTTGAATAATTTTAACCTATCTAAAAAGTTTGTAATTTTATTGCTGTAGTTCTAGTATCAAGGTTTGAAAAAGTCTTAATTTGATATTTTGTATATATATATATATATAGTGGAAATGCTGAACAATATTTTTTATCAAAATCTCATTCTTGAAAATTGGTGCCGTTTATGATATCTGATGACAGAAAATTTTACTTAAAGGTTATATGAATAGTTTTGACTATCATTTGTAAAATCAAATTTAATTGATCATCAATCATTGTTGATGCTGATGTGTTTTTTTTTAGAAAGAATAATTGCTTGACAAACAGATCCATAAGTCTTAATGATATACTATGTCAAAAAATAAATGTGCTAAATGTTAGAATGGGTATGTATGAAAAAACAAAAGTCTTCTATATTTGTAAAACAAAAAATGACGACTTCTCTTTATTACCAACTGGCAAACATGTTTGATTTTTCTACTATCACTTGTTGAATTAATATCAACTAAACTAAAATCTAAATAATTTGCTAGATGATGAGCAAAATCTATTAGAATTAAAATTTGTTTTCTTTTTTTTTAAAATTAAAATGATGTTGAGACAAATGTTGTTTCACACAAAAATAAGAGAATATCATATTGATACTAATCTATATTACCTGTCTATGACATATATGTCTAGATTTTTACACAAGTCAGTGTTTAGCTAAAAACAACAGAATAAAAAAGACATTTCTACAGCTATAATAATTCTATTATTTATTTTCTCTCATCCTATTTTGATATATGACCATATCTAATACGACAATAAATTCTATACAGTTGTATATCACAACTACATATTATTCTCTATTGTCATCAAACTTACTATTACTGTTTTTCAAACGATTTTATACAAATATAAATATTTAAAGATAATGTTAGATAATACAGATATTTTAATAAAACAAACACATGACTTCATATTTTGAATCGAAACTTCTCAAAAGCTGTCCTAATTGACTTTACAAACTCAAACAATATCAGAGGAGAAGATACAAAACTGAGTGTAAGTTTACAACAAAAAAAAGTATCTCTTTTCAGAGTCGTAGTCGTTTTGAACAAATTAATTAACAAAAATGTTCATATAAAAAACATCGTATTTTTATACTTTAAAATAGTTCTAATTTTTTAAAATTAAACATTAAAATAATAAAGAATAATTAATTAACTTGTTTCGTTTAAAAAAGTAAATAAAGTTAACCTCTTATTTATTTAAATTTTTGTTAATTACATGTACACACACATATATATATATATATATATATGTATTTCATCCTCGAGTGTATCATACAAAATATGTTGTATTACATGAAAAATGAATCTTTTTTTTTGTTATTTTTTCTCTTGTCTAACAGTACGAGATATTAATGACCTTCTACTGATATTTGTAAAAACTACATATGTTCTATACATAGACGATTATTATTCCATATGACACTTATTTGTCTACATGCTCAATTAACTCTTTTATTGATTATTATTTCGAATTGGACATCGGTACATACACCAGATTCAAGAATAAATTGAGAAAAGAGATATTTATTATTGATTCAATTTTCTCTAAATCTTAGAAAAATTATTAGATGAGAAAATGATCGCTTAAGGTTACATACAACGACAATATTTTGGAATAATAGAGTATTGTGGATGATCTCAGTCAACGTTTTATGTTAGATGTTTCTAAGAATTAAAAATAATATATACAGACAATATTATTTACATTATTGTAAGATAAATCCGAAGAGAAACTGCTTGTTTCTAATTTCAAAATTTCACTCTAATTTAAGCGAAATTGTAGTGCAAGAGAAAGAGAGAGAGAGAAACTCATTTGTTTCATATGATATGCAATTCCCTTGCTAGGATATGTAGTAGAATTATAAAATTGTCATTCTATTTTTATGGAATTAATGTAAGAATTTCGTGTCAAACAACATATAAATACGTTATCAAGATATATTCTTTTTAGATATGCAGTGCGTGCTTAAGTCTTCAATGTTGTGCTTTTAGATTTATTCTCTCTTACAGAAAAAAACTAAAAAGTTAAGCGCTATGGATCATCAAAAATTATTATAACTAAATTATACTTACAAATTCAATGAAGAAAGGAATAGATAAGAAAAAAATTTCTCTTTTTTCAGTTTTATTTCGATTGAAACATTTGATACTGTAGAATTATCTAATTATTGATTAACGAGTAATAGAGAAAATTGACGACAATTAATGAGCGTATATTTTTATATTGATAGCAGGTACATGCAGACAATTGATCTTTTAATTCTTCAGCAAAGAAAAATCTTATTGAATGAATAGATAATGATCATAAGAATAAAAAGAAATAATACATAGAATTGGAAATATTTGTATATATTTTCTCATTTTGCTCTGTATCTTTACCGGAAAGAGAAAAATGAATTCATTATTAAAACGATTAAAAAATCCCGAATTAAATTGAGCATGTTTTATATGAAAGGGTAATTGTCCTAAGTCATCTTTACTAAACTCTTAGATTTATTATGTGATCTTCATCATATGAAAGATATGAGAGTGGATAAGAAAGAGAAAAATAAATGTAGCAAAAAAAAAAACATATCTGAAATGTATCGAGATAATAATACAATGAATTACACCGAAGAAAAAGAAATCTCTTTCTTATATGATTTCTGTTGTTTTTATATATATGTTCTATAGTACTCAACATCCTTCATATACTACTGATCGTTTCTTTTTTTTTTTTTGTCAAAAACGTCGATCAACTGTAATCATCATCGAAATGCCAATGAATTCCATTTGATGATTAACGACTACTAGATCTATAATCATTTAAAAACAAAGATATACTACTTATAAAGGTAATAAAAGGGTGGAATATTATCTACCACATCTATCAATGTCATAGTATAGACTGTTACAGACAGGAATCTATTGAACGGTGTGCAACCATGGGCGAAAAACTATATTCTGAGATTATCTTTATTAAACATCCCTGAGTTTCGATTCTTCTAAAAATATCATTAATGGGCACGAATTTCAGCCGATAATAATAATAGTAATACATGTTAGCATGTTCTCAATTAATAAAGTTTTACTGATGTACTCTATACAGACTATGAATAGTGGTAATATAAATAGCTTTCGAGCTTTCAAGCAGAAGTTTTGTGTTTACTCTTCGACTAATCTAGTGTATATATATATATGAGTATATGTGCATACGGTTAAGAGTTTTCTGACCGCTTTTTACGTGAACAGGTCCGCTTATCTGTCGAGTGATAGTAATAAACTGAATAATTGTTATACTCTCATGAAATATATCAAAGCATCGTTGCAAAAGTTGTTCCTGTCCATAATGGTAGAAATTTTTTTGCCGTATCTTCGGACAGTGTAAATCATGGTCGAAATTCTTTTAACTTCACTGTAATTGGACTTGGTTGGAGCCTTGGTTCCAGTATTCTTGTGTACTCGTTAGACAATATCTGTCTTTTTTCTGTAGTACACAAATTAGAAGTTTAATGTTGTGTTAAATTGGTCAGAACTAATGGGTCCTAAGAATGAAGTGGAGGATGATTCCGTCGAAGAAACGTTAATGTCAATGCCTCATCTATCACGTATTGATCGACGAAAATCATCAATAGCAGCCATATTTGAAGATAGACGACATGATGTTGTCATTAAACGTCCTAGTCTACGACGATTATGGGCTAAATATGATGTGCCTTACATTATTGGAGAAGAAATTACACACGCTAAACAGAATTTATGTGAAACAACATTGTTAGTTGGTGCATGGTGTTTGGTTGTCGTCTTTTTTCCATTTTCTTTATTTTTTACATTGAAAGTTATTCAAGAATACGAACGAGCTGTGATATTTCGACTTGGACGATTAGTGGCAGGTAAGTATATTTACAACCCAGTCAAAAAAAAGGTCAGAAGTAGGAGTATGAAGGTATGCTCCGTTTTCGGAGCACTTCTTTTGAAAAAAGCCACTATGAGCACTCTAGAGTACTCTTTTTTTGGAGTAGTCCAGAATACTACTCAAAAACGGAGCACTCCTTTTTATAAAGTGCAGCCGAGGCACTGCAGAGCACTTCAAAAAAAGTGTAGTTTTTAGAGTACTCTTTTTGAGAACATGCAGTTCGAGTACTCCAGAGTAATTCTTAAAAAAGGGTTATCGAGGTTACTCCTTTTTTGGAGCACTCTTTTTCGGAAAAAGAGTACTCCTTTCTTTTTTTCCAAAAAGAGTGCTCCGTCATACGCCTCCTCCTGATATTTTTTTGACTAGGAAGTAGAAATTGTCACACATATTTTCTTCAAGCTCTAAAATGCAATATGCTTTTTTTGTGGTTATTGTTTGTCAATAGTAGAAATGGTAGTAGGCATTTTGAATAATGTTTTTAATAGAAATTAGATAGAAAATTGCAGTTAATAGTCAATTCTAGAAGATCTGTAGAAAATCAGTTCAACGTTCAGTGTGAAAGTGGATGCTATGTAGTGTATCCTGAAAATCTTATTTAAAGGGATTTATGATACTAGATAAAAGTAATAGATAAATTTGTAAAGATAAATTAGATATTTTTCCATAAAATACGTTTTTAAATTCGGGTATAAACAAACATTATCATAAAACTCAGCATAGTTTTTAATAACAGGTTCTTCAGACTCTACAATATCAAAGACCGTCTCGAGGACCTGAAACGATCTTTGTAGCATTTAACTGATAAACTACTAATATCTTTATTTTAAGACAAAGCACATGTAAATAATTACTAACATCTCGTTTTTTAAGTTAATTATCACCAGTTGAATATTCTGGTCATTTAATTCCTTCCAATCATATTCAAACATCTTAGGCGTCAAAAAACCATACCCTTTGTCATATCTAAATCGTGAGAAACAGCAAATTTGAGTATCTATAGACTGACTTTTAACATGAGAAGACAAAGATATTTGTATTTCTAGTTTTTGAAAGAATTCTTAGAAAATGTATCCTTTATGACAGCTATCGAACAGTAAAAGTGCAGCTTCTCAGCCACTGCTTTCTTCAATGCCCAGTAGTATATCGTTAGTTTCAGATTCAGCGTATAAGAAATGCTATTGACCTGTATGTAAATGAGATAAGAGATACAAAATTCTAGCTCTAAAATCCATAGAGAAAGATGAATAGCTCAAAACTCAACTTATCTGTTTCGGTTGTCGGACTTTATTGTATTCTAATTTCCTTTTAGGAAGCACGAGAGGTCCCGGAATATTTTTCATTTTACCTTGTGTTGACACATTTTCTACTGTCGATATTCGTACTGTTTCATTTGATGTACCTCCACAAGAAGTATTGACACGTGATAGTGTAACGGTCGCTGTCGACGCTGTGGTTTATTATCGTGTATTTAATCCAACTATATCTGTCGCCAATGTTGAAAATGCTCAAGAAAGTACACGTTTACTGGCTCAAACATCGCTGAGAAATGTACTGGGTACACGATTACTATCAGAATTACTATCGGATCGTGGTGCAGTATCTAATTATATGCGGGAATGTTTAGATGAAGCAACTGATAATTGGGGAATCAAAGTTGAACGAGTAAGAAACAATTATTCAATTCTCAGGAAAATTACAACTTGTTCTTTCATTGAACAGGTGGAAATTAAAGATGTAAGATTACCCACAATTTTACAACGAATTATGGCAACAGAAGCGGAAGCAGCACGGGAAGCAAGGGCAAAAGTAAGCTTTCGTTAGAAGATTTTTGACATGGGTCTTCATATACTCCTTGAAAGTCTTTCTGTGAGTATTCCGGCTCCATTAGTGTCTGCTATTCCATGAACTTAGAAGACGCCATCTAAACACTCACTTCCGCTCAAAAAGAAGCTGTTATACTGTTTCAAAGTCTTATTCATTGAATTTGATCAGTAAAACTAATCTCATTTAGATTATTGCTTCAGAGGGCGAGTATAAGGCATCAAAAGCACTCAAACACGCAGCCGATATTTTAAGTGAATCACCTTATGCCATTCAATTACGATATCTTCAGACGTTAAATAGTATTGCTGCCGAACAAAATAGTACAATCATATTTCCTCTACCAATGGAATTTTTACAAATTCTTCGTCCGTCTACAACTGCCGCATCTCTATCTCCACCGCCATCACGTCTATACTCAAATACACCAACATCTGCCAGATCATTTGATAAAGAAAAGAATATTGAAGACCTTTCTGAACTATTAAATAACTTATCACCTATAGAAACAGATTTGCCTCTTATAGAATCGTCCGATACAAAAGAAATTATATCACCATCGTCCAATTTAAATTATCCAACAACACACACATCGATATTGAGTGACACATCGGACTTACGTTCACACAAAGGTCACCCACATCGAATAAATACAATTCAAACTAAAACTCAACATTCAACAGCAACAGCAATCTAAAATCAAGTTTTTCTGTGCAGATCTTTTCAAATGCTATATATCCTTTATGTCACATCAGAATACTTCGTCTACTGAATTTAAAAAGAAATCAGAAATGCGAATATTCACTGAACTGCTTTTAATAACTGTTCCTGGAATCGCGTTTTGGTAAATTCACACAAGTCATATTCATATTTGTCTATATCCAGAAATAACCTTGCTTGGATCTCTTGTTAACGAAAATGTAGCAAACTGATATTTCAAAAAAAGATAATATCTTGATATAGAACATTCAGTTGTCTTAAATAACGTTCATAAACAATTGACATCTATTATATTCTTCAAAACTGGTAGAATACGCTACTTCATCGCATAAATCTGGGATGAATACTTTCCTTTTAAACAGTTTAGTCACGATATTTCTGTTCATCACTATAAATACGGTGGTTTATAGCAAGTCACTAGTACTTATTGAGTTTGTAGTTGTTAACCTTAGCTGACTATAGCGAAAACCGGTTTAGTGTGAAGATGTAGAGAGGGACTTCTCATTTTTTAAGTCTCTGCGAACTGCTGATGTTACTATCGGTATTTTTGGAAAAACGTAAACTATTAATTCTCATGGGAATAGAATATGTCGAGGCTGATAAAGATGATATCACCTTGTTTCTCCTAGATATTCTGTTTTTTTACCTTAGTTATTAAAAATGTTCAAATGTTCAATGCTGAATAAAATCTTGGAAACAACGGTTCTTTGAAGATAAAAGCCGAAAAATCTACGAGATTTACCTTACTACAGCGCTTTAATACGCAATCGTCAATAAATCTGCACTGTGGTTATATTGATTACTGAGCAACGGTATACGTAACTAGGACTACTCAAACATCAGTTACTTCTGACTCTTTTTGTGGCATTTAGGAAAATTGTTATTGAGTATCACTTAATAACAAAAAAGTCACACTTAGAAAGGTTTACTCTATTCTGTCGAGATAGGAAAACTCTGAAGTCACTTATGATAATAATAAATGCATTTCTAAATGCCATAACATAATAGTTATCGTCAGTTATATTACTGTTCATGCCTCTTCAATAGTTTATAAAAAAAATTCTCTCTTTTATTCTTCAATTTTTTGCGTTTTATATATAAAATAGAACAGCTCTTTTCCTGGAAATACAATAATGAAAGCATTGCTGTAAATTCAAAATTTGACAGAGTAGTTAGTTATTCATAAAGTAAGGCATTCCGATATCCTTAAGGAATTGAAGATGCATTAAACACGCCAAGATGCCTTATAGAGGCGGATTATGACTAAAAACATGCAAAAGAGGGATGAATAAGTCTATATGAGACAAGTAGCAACAGATTAAAAGTAAGACACATACCAAGCTGAGAAGAGTAAGCTAAGAGAAAATATTCAAAGAGGAAAGTCCTGGTTTCCAGAAAACATTTTAGATTTATATTAGATTAGGAGCTTTTTAAATCAATCCCGCGTTTATGCCAAATTATTTAAGGCAAGGGATCGAAACAGATGAGCGTTACCTTGCAGGTTGATAGCCAACAAATCTGTTTATTCTATTGACCCAGGACTGCCATTATCGTCTGTTCAAGAATATGACAGTTACTATAATGCAGAAGAAACGATGCCAATAGCGCACTTTTTCTTTGTAGTTCGTTTGCTAGAGATGTCTTAGCTAGGCGTCAGGATGGCTCGATGTCTAGCAAAGAGTCTCGATGCATTTCAATGTCTTAAATGTGACTATGTGATTTGTCTGTGATTAAGGGTCTTGGCCATAGCTAGTGCATTGTGCCTTATTGATGTATAAGTGATGTCTATCAGATGCAGCAAAGCTATTTTTTTCAAAAAATAGCAGCGACTTAGAGGTGTTTTTTGAAGACATTAGGGCGACTAACAGTAAAAAGGCGAGAAAACGCATCTGACGTGCCTTCAAAACGCACCGTGGACGCATTCTGAAGCTAATCGAGTGTTTTTTTTTGACAGTGCAGAGTTTGATACGTTATTTAACAAAATGTTTACACTATTTTGTAAAAGGACAATCTATTATTACTTTTTTAACATGGTGTTTTCGTGTCATCAATGATTTTTTCACATCATAAATCTATATGTAAATGAGCTAAATTTATCCTTTAAAAATAAATTTTCTTTGCACTTGAGCGAAATGTGTCGGACGTAATAAAAAGAGCGTCATCATGTCACGAAAAGGGTCATGTCGATACTTTAAACTTGACCTGTAAATCAACAACCAGAGAGAATAATACTTCTTCAACATAATAAATCTTTCCAGGTTATCAAATCTTTGCACTTAAATCTAGCAAAAATATGGTTCTTGAACACAAATCATAGTCTTGAAGGGTAAAACCTTAAGACTGCATAATACATTACGCTGATGATTTTTTGCTCCGGGAAAATTATTTAAAAATGCTTCTTTTGTGAGATTTTGTTCTTTAAGACTGCTCGTATCAATATGAAGAAAAAAGAGTTCACTTTTCATATTTAGCGCACTCGATAATCCATAAAATTTAAAAGGACAATTATTAATAAGTTCTTTAAATTTTTGGAATCTAACTTAAAAAATTTCAAGCTCCAGTGGAATTTACATTAAAAATGTTTAACTTTATGTGCTCGAAAAAAGGCAAAAAGATCACTCTTATACGAACAGCATGTGTCAGAGCAATAATGTAATACAATGCAATAGTTTTTAGGTAATAAATACAGTTTATATCGTACGCTGCTATTGAACGTAGTGCAACGTTTAGATTCATGTATCTTGTGCAATGTGAAGAATTCTTCTTTCATTTGTATTGCTGAAAAATATAATCCATAATCCTTGCCGCTTCGGAGTAATGTTTATAAAATTAAGTTTTTTTCGAAGTCGTATAGAATTGTATCCCCATTTTTAGCTGGTGTGAAAGTTGACGAAGTCTAATACGAAAGAATAATACTAATATGTCACTTGAATATATTAATATAATAAGAAAAAGAACACAACGTACTCATCTGTATTTCATAACACATATAATAGTGAGAATACGTTGTTAAATTGCACGTATGTGATTAGATTATTATTTTAAGATAATGATCACAATTTTAATCTTTTTATACGTGTGAATTACAATGAAATCTTTTCAAAAAGAGTAGAAAACAATTTTAGCTTTTTAAAGAAACTCCTTCTATAACTATTTTGATAGTTATATAAATCGAGTTTTGACAAGATTTTTTAAAAAGAAATGAAATTTATAGATTTTTATCTTACGAGCTATTAAATTGGTTATTCATTATTTTGTTCATCAATGGGTGCTAATCGTCATTTTCTTTCCTAGTGTTAAAAATATCACATTCGAAACTCACGATATTGTTCAAACTTATTAATTCAATTATAAGCTTATTATTATTGTTATTCAAAAGTTTTCCATATTATTTTATATTGTTCTAATTGTTGTTTTGGAAGTTGTTGAATCGTAAAATAAATATCATTAAATTAACTAACATCTGAATAAATATTTTAAATGAGCTCGAAATAATTTACCACTTAAACAATAGAGAATAAAATTAATACAAAAATTAGTTAACATTAATAATTCTGTTAATTCTTTAAGAGTTTTTAAATTTTCATTTTCAAACTTATGAATGTAATTCAATAGCCATAATATACAATATGGTGTATTTAATAATAAAAATGACCATGATACAAGTAATAATGTTAATGTTATTTTACGTTGTGTGCCCCCTTTTAAATGAGTTTGAAATGTTTGATGTTTATTGGATAGTACCTAATTAAAAGAGATGAAAAGAAATTTATTATTTTCTTATAATATTTACAGAGAAGAATTCACGATTAATAATGGCTATCTCATTTCTTTATATATTTAAGGAATACCTGGTTGTGCGGCGGTACACTCTCTTCTAGAGTTAAATGTGACTTATTTAGTAATGCTGAATGTTCATAGTTATTTGAGCCAGATAATATTGAATCATTGTATCTAGAGAATGATAATGTTGAATTTGTGTTATCATTGTTGTATATTGTTTCGAGCAACTGATCTTGGTCAGTTTTAAAGGATTGTACGTTAGATAATTCCAAGCCGATTGTACACGATCTAAAAAATGAAACGAAAATATGCGTTCATCGAACGCAAAAGGGAGAGAGTGGGAGAAATTTCGAAATTCACGTGCGTGATATTTTCTAAAACGAATAAATGAGAATTTTCTTGTTATTGTTGTTTAAGTTTGTTTCATATCCGTGTGACCTTTTCCTTGTCGATGTCCCTGCTTGTTGTTGATGTATACGTTCAGGACACACTATATTTTGTGTGAGAAAAACCTTTTGAGATTCATGATATTTGTTTGTAGTCATTGTAGTATTAACTTCGACTGCATACTCATTCTATGATGATGATAGAATATGAATGTTTTGTTAACTAAATACACCCAACACACATTCTCTCGTTTTTGTGAAACTCCTTCAGTATCTCCAAAGGAGAAGGAGTTGAAGTTTTATACTCAAAAAGCCTCGATTCTGACCAATTTTTTAACCCCAATATCATCTTTCGGCTGATGTAGAGGAGTTTTTAGAGGACCATTTCAGCCCCACAAGGGGCCGCCCTAACAAGTTTTTTTCTTTGTGTATACGCTCAGAGAAAAAATTTATTTCCATCTTCTACAACTTTACTAGCCTGAAGATAGCGTTAAACAAGTTTGAAACGCGTCATTGCAAGTTACTACTTATCGTTCGTTATTTCATACGGCTGTCACTTGGATTTAACGGGTGGCGCAGAGATGATTAATCACTTTTGAAAGCTAAAATTCTTTAATATTGTTTCATTTGATAATTCACAGCTGCAGAATTTAATTCTGTACAAAACACAAATTTGATTGAGATTTTTTGATGTTACATATTAGATATCAGAGTGCAGTATTGAATTATAAATGAAATGGTGTTAGAGAATTTTAGCTTTCAAACATAGCTAGTTATCTCTCAGCCGCCCTTTAACTCCATCAGAGAGACAAACTTCTCTCTTCTTCAATTTAAAATTCATTGCTCAGTTGAATCCTTTTAATCTAACTCAAATCATACCTCAGTGATGTTCCGCCAACACTTTCAAGGCCATTTGGTTCTGGGTTTTTATCCATATTGTTCAATAACTGTTTACTACGAGATAAACGAATGATAATAAGCATATTACCAAAACCGATAATTAGAAATGGAATTAAATAAACACTTATCATTGTTGCTATGGCAAAACGCATATAAATAGGTCGATATTTTTGTAATACATCGCATACAGTTGGTGATGATGTACTATTATTATCAGTGTGAATCAATCCATAATGAAACGGGACATTAATGTTAAAACATAAAGTCATCACGAATATTCCAAACAGTAAATATCTTGCCTCTTTTCGTCGACAGATTATTTTTCGTTTTAATGGATAATAAACGGCAATCAATCGTTCAATAGTAAATGAAACAATGATCCATGAGGAAGATAAACGTGTACTATTGCGTATATATTGTGCAGCAATGCATATAAATTGTGTTGAGCGATCAAGAAAACCCAGATGTGAATTATACAAGGTATCAAGATTACGAAATGTATCTTCAAATAAATTAATTATTAAAAAGCAAACATCAGATAGTGCTAATGTTGATAAATATAAATGGGTACTTTGTTTATGAAATTTTGGTGAATAAAATATTATAATGACTAGTATATTGCCAAATATACCGAATGTTGTTAAGATAAATGTAAGATAAATTAACACATGTTGTGTTAGACGAACTTGATTAGAATCGTAAAGCGTCATATTTTCATCACTAATCATGTTTCAGTCATATGTATTACGGCAAAATTTAAGACGATGATGGTTTTAGTTTTGAGTGAATTGTATGATATGTCATTTTATAAATAATAATACTAAACATAAAAATTGTACTAATTCATAAATAAATGGTTTCTCTAATGCACACTCTTATTTTCAACTTAATGTGTATATAACATCTTTTGTCTTTTCTAGTCTTTTTTGCATCAATACAAGAATGGCGCGTTCCACACTATTTTTATATTCTATTGGGAGAAACAAAATTTGTTTCCGTTGATAACAAAGTAAAAATGATATAGAACAGAAGAAAAAAAATTTTCTTAGATTAATATCTTAACAATAGAACCGTATCAAATAAGAGTATATGTATATAGCGTACAATGTATTTTCTTTGATTGAGTCTTTTATAAGATTCTCCCATGAAAGTCTTGAACTCTTTTACATTACTGAGTAGACAAACGTCTTGTGAATCCCACAGTAAAATTTATTTTTAACTTAGATGAAAAATGGCTAGGTTACAAACAATACACTCTAGACAAAATCCTATATACTTCCTGTCTATTTCCTACTAAGAACCTATAAGATCTAAAAGTTAGGATCCTAGTAGGAAATCGATAAGAAGTGCGTAAGTTTTTTTTTAGGGCTCAATCATTGCATTTTCTTGTTGGAATCCTATTTAGATCTTAACAGAATCATAGTAAATTCCGGATTTCATTCGGCTTCCGTAGGATTTTGTTAAGATCCTATCAAAAAATATATAGGTTTCTTACTAGGGCAGTAAGATTCATACACGTACTAGATATATATTATCTAATAGATATTTGCTAAGAGAGAAACAGAAAGAAATATCCGTTATTTTATATAGCTCTAAAGTTCACGTCTCTGTTTATATTCCATAATCATAATCTTTTCTTGCTTCTAATACTAGAAAACCTGTATAACATTATACCGGCTGTTGAATTATAGGAAAAGTTAGAATTCATTCCATGAAAACAGAATCATACTACTACGTTAATTAAATAAAAACATCGACGTTGAATAACGAAAAAGACAAACAGTAATCTATACATAATAGAACAATAGTTCGTACAAACCCTCTCACCCTTATACAAAGTTGAGCCGAAAACAATGTAGACTACGGTGATTCGAGAGAAATAAATAAACAATGGTATTGTTTTTTTATATGCATTTGACGTTAAAATATCACCTTAAAGTGGCAGAGCTGAGGCCATTGGGCATTTAGTTGAATAAGATAAATCTCCAGAGATTAATGATCTATCTTATCTATCCAACATCCGCAATTTTTGTTTTTGAAATCTTTGAATCTGTAGATTTCAAAAACTATAAACTATCCAAAAGGTCTCAAATACAGTATTGAACCAGTTTAATAATTTCGTATCTAGTAGAATCGTTTTTGAATCAAAATTGCTATCCTGAGGCAGTCAGAAAACTATGATTATATCACGATAAGATCGTCCTATGCTAAAATTTTTAGCTTGCATTCACACATGGACTATAAGTGTTGTATCTGTCAGCGAGATTTCTCAAAAGGCGTGTGAACTGGCTCTCTAGCATCAATAGAGAGCCGCTATGGCTGAATCGTTATGTTGTTCGGCACGTACTTCAAAGAGACCGTGTTCGAGCCTCGGCGCCATCCAGTCATAGAATAACCTTGGGCAAATTACTAATGGCTATTGTCTCGGATCACCCGTCCGATAGCACGCTGACATATACTGGTAGTTCGGTGCTAATATGTGGTTAGTGAGCGTGTATGGGGAGCCCAAGCAATTGGGCGAAAAGAACTCTGTGTCAGGCTGGCCTTCTGTCCAGAGCTACAGCTTGCTTGGTGACTAGTAGAAGAACGGGTGACCGTCTCTGAAGATCATCAGCTGTAGGGAAGATATCGGGCTTATCGAAACTGCTTCGGCAGCACCCTAAACCGCAAGGTAGCCACAAGGCGGGGTATTCTTCCTTTCTTCCTAGCATCAATAGTAAAAAGTTACATCAAAAACAAAATTCATACTTTATTTTTCCCCATCTTGGTAGGTAGCTGTAAGAACAGTACCGGTGATGAATCATCAAGAAAGATATGGTATAAAAAGGGTATCAATTTTTTTAATCATCAAACATATTTAGATGCATATGATCACCAAAAAAATATACTTTTGATCACCAAAAATAAAGATACTTTTGATCACCAAATTTTTCAATATGCATCTCACATTTTTATTTCTCAACAAGTATTATGTCCAATACAAATATAGTCATTGAAATTTTAACCAAACGAACAATAAATCTGTGCTAACTTTCTTGGGACGCTCTGTTGTTTTTTGCTTGCTTAATGGCTGAATACGTGTTTTATTGCTAACCTGACGTGTTTATCGCTCGGCTTGTTGTACCATTATTAGTATATTCGTGTAAACATTCTGTTGGATTAGCAATTATTTAACTTGTATCAAGTTAGCGATAAAACACGTATTCAACCATTAGGGAAACGAAAATCAAAAGGGCGTTCCAAGAAAGTTAGCACAGCTTTATTGTTCATTTGGTTAAAATTTCAATGAATATGTTTGTGTTGGACATTATACTTGTTGAGAAATAAAAATGTGAGATGCATATTGAAAAATTTGGTGATCAAAAGTGTCGTTTCTTGGTGATCATTTGTATCTAAATATGTTTTGTGATCAAAAATATCTTTTTTTGGTGATCAAAAGTATCTTTTTTTGGTGATCAAAAGTATCTTTTTTTGGTGATCAAAAGTACATTTACTCATATAAAAAGTAGAACGGAAACAAGAATAAAAAGAAACGAACGAGAAAAAAGAAGTTTAACAATCGGATCTACTATATTCTCTAACTAGGTAACGAGTATAAAGCAAATAAAGCAAATAAAGCACGAAAAAGTTCATACGACAATAATGAGTGAACGACTCTTGTATCCTCTCCTGCGCGAGTCCAACACATTGTCTTGTATCCTCTCTGCGCTGTTTGCCTAGTTCCTGCTAGAAGAAGATGGTGTTATGTACTCTTGATTGAAAATCTAAAGTCATACAGAAATAAGCGTCTGTTTATCTGTGCACAAGAAAGATAAAACATCACAGTGAACAAAGGATAAGGCACACTGCCACAAAACTTTGACAATACAGGTAACTCATCAACTGCAGCGAGTTTCAATAGAGAGAGATCTACTGAAGAGAATCTACTCACCATTATAAATGTAAAGCTTTTTTTATGTTTTTGATCTTAAATAAAATATGAGCGATATTAGGAAGACCGATGAGGTACCCTCTAAAAAGAGTGGTTTTTAAAATGACGAAAAAGGCTGTTTAACTTAACAAAGTTTTCATGTAAAAATAAACCTTAAAATGTTTTATTACTTAAGGGTAAAATACGTTTTATAATCGCGTTATAATGTTATAGGTTATAATGTTTTATAACTTAGTAAAATCAAAACCAAAAGGGGGGAGTTAAAGGTATATTAAAATACTGTATTTATTTTGTTTCTCTTCCTAATTATTTTATTTAAAGTTTGTAATTTTAAATAAAATAATTAGAAAGAGAAACAAAATAAATACAGTATTATCAGCCTTCCTGAACAGAACTAAAGTATATTAAAATACTGCAAAGGCTTCTTTATTACTTTTTAAAACTACTGTAACAACTTATGTTTTTGAAAAATATCCATTTTACTATAGTTTTGGTCGAATACAGAGGTACACTTTTTGTTTTCTATTTGGAGATCTTTCAAATTATAATATACAAATCTCCGAGATCTTATATAGATATTCTCTTCACATCAATGAGCTTAAGTTCTCGTCGAAAGTAAAAATTTATGACTTATTTTATAAAACGATTATCCGTAATTTAAAAAAGCATAATGTTTTTAATCAAAAAATAAAAATGAATATCCCGCTATGATATATTATTCAGATGATGAAACCTCTTTTTAAATTAGAGAGTACGTTTTAGTGATAAGTATTGCATGATTTTTTTTTACACATAATTAAAGAGCAAAAAAATATATATCTTAATTGACATCTGTAACTCTGTTATCTGTTACAACAATTAAAACCATATTCATACGTACAAGTATAATTGTCACCAGGCTATCTTCAAACCTCATTATTATTGTCAATGAAAATAAAATATTTTATTCACTTGAAGAATAGGTGATATGAAGACCAATAAATTTGCGCTAAAATGAAAGAATAAGGTATGTGTGCGTAACATGTGCACAAGTTAAGTTTAAATATTAAATTATTCTTTTATTTTTTCACTTTTTATCTGCTGCATTATTTTTGAAAATGAACGAAAAAAATTAGTGAGGTGTTAAAGATTTTCTAGATAAAACATCGAGAAAGCTGAATAAATCGTTTAATTTATTCTTTGTATTAACATGTTGGAATCACTAAATTACAAATATCTGACACTGTAAGAAAAAATAATTTGTCCTTGGCAAGTAATTTATTGATGATTAACTGTGAAAACGAATGTTTCCTGTTTTCCAACTCGATGGAACACACAAATTGTTCACTGTACCCTCTCAAGGATAGTAAAATAAAATTATTTTAGAATAAATGTCACACTTAATATTTTTATGTCATTCAGTTGTCTGTCTAACGAAGTTAGTAATTTCTTATTTTTTCCAATTATTTGTTATTTTTATATGGCAGTATTTTATATGGAACGAGAGAGAAAAATATTTAACTCATTTTTGTTTTTGTAAGATTCATCTTGAGAATATGTTAACTTTTGTTTTTTTGTATTTTAGTATACTTTTAAAAATATTACAACTTATACAAGCGTTTGAGTTTTGACTGTGATGACAGACGATAAATAATAAAAAAAACACGTAGGATGAGTCGGAAAAATATTTGTAATTGAAAGTTAATGAACAAACGTTTGAGTGTGAAAAATAAAAGAAACTGTGAACAAATTTAGTTAAAATGACTATTGGATCTTTCTTTCTTTCCACTTTTCAAATAC